CCCCCCCCCCTTATGTTATAATATTAATTTCGGAGAACAACAAGATCATGAAACTTTACAAAGACAATTTGGCAATGATATTTTTATTGAGGACTAAGAAAATGAGGATGAAGAACTAGATGAAACCTCCACTAGTCCCGCAACACCAGCTCCAACTCATGGTCAATCTCGGTCTGAGTTTTACCCCTTATACCTCCTGTAAGGGGTACGCGTAATGTTGTACTAATGTTATGCAAACCCTCCATATAGAAAAATTCCAAAAGTTGTTTGTACTAGGTGGAATTCTACTTACGAAATGCTTAAAGTTGCTTATGATTATCGGATGCCTCATACAAAAGGTATTTAATATGCATAATGGTATTCTCGTTGATCAAATTGTTGATTCTGATTGGGATGAGATCAAAGAGCTTATTAAATTTTTAGAAAAAAATTATTATGCTAAAAAACATTTTTTCTGGTATATATATTATCTTACTGTTACACAAATATAATGGTATATTTATGGAATTTCTGTTGTATCTGGTAAGTATAAAATAAATCCAATTTATGCACCGGCCATTAATGAAATGATTGCAAAATGTAAAAAGTATTTTTCCCTATTTACTCTACTTAACCCATCTTTAAAATTAAAAGGTGCAAAAGGACTTGTTCGTAAAATTTATGAGAATTTAGAAATTCAAGAAAATGAACAACCATCTCTCGAATACTGTCAAGCTAATATATATTCTTATGCTTGATCAATGTTTGATAAAATATAAATCTATGGTAACAACAGGCGGTGAAAATGCTTCTACTACTTCTAAGACTAGATTAGAAGTTTTACGGGAAGGTATGGATGATATAACATGTTTTGATTCCTCTATGGATGATGAACTTAATTCTTATCTTAATCAAGGATTGGAAAATATTAAAGACGAAGAAGGTAACAAACAATTTTTGGCATGGTGGAGGGAGCGTGGCAAGGCATTTCCAACACTTTCAATAATGGCCCCGAGATATATTGGCTATTCTAGCATCATCAGTAGCATCGGAGAGTGCTTTTAGCGCAGCTAGATTTCAAATCGGAGATCATAGACATTCATTAGCGGAGGACAACCTAGAGATTTCCGTCTTATTCAGATATTGGATTAATTCAGAAAGAAGAATCTTGATTTTGAAAAATTAACCACTAGAGAAAAAGAAGAATACAATGAGATACTTAGCACTGGAAGCGTTGACGACATGAAACTCATGGAACATCAATCAACATGGCTAATTTCGGAACAATGTCCGAGAGACATTATAGATAAGTTACAATAAAGCTATATAAGAGCTTGCAAATATTAGTATGAGAATTTGTAATTGTCTACTAAGAGGCCTAGTTCAAACATAACCCTTCCTAGAAGGTGGCTGCGTAAATTGGGTGCTCTTCAAAAGAATTGTATTTGTATGTGAAATTTAAAAGTTCTATTAATAAAATAAAAGGCTCTAAGCCTTGATTTTTTTTATGAATTGTCTTATACTCTTACTTAGTTACTTAATGGCTTGAAATTATATTAAATAAATTATAACTCTATTATAGTTACTAAAACTAGTCTTAGTGTACGCGCGTTGTGCGTGTTTCTCATCTCAATAAGTAATTTTTCGTAAGAAACTTACATATTTAAGAACACAATTGTGTTTGAGTAATAAAATAAAGTGTAAGCTTCTAAAATTGTTGAATATTGATCCTATATAGCTAACTTAATAAAAGAAAAAAAAATTATTCATGAAAGTCCTCAATCATTATTCAATATGTTCATCTTAAATTATGTTCCAATTTATAATTTTATCAGTTCAATTTCACAAGTTATCTTGCTTCCTTTTAGTTTTGGTAAAAACACATATCCTTTGAAGATTTAGAAATTTTTTGATTTTTTTTTTCAAAAGCTATTCTCAAGTTCATTCGAGAAGGCATAAACGTGATATAAACTTAAGACTTTTATTACGATTCTTTCAAAATTTGTCAAATAATATAAATTAAAAAATTAAGTCATATGTCTTCTCAATTTATTTCCCTTCAATTTAAATATTGCCCATGTAGTGAAGTTTAAGTTATTGAAACAAAAAAAATATAATACATAACTTGTCTAACGGATAAAAGATCAATTAACATTTTGTATAGAAGTTTCGTACTTTTATAATATAAATTTAGGCTTGTACGGTTTAGAGCATTGATGCATCGGTGAGGAGGTGTGAGCGACTGGCTGTAATGGACATGCGGAGAGGTAGAGGACGACCTAAGAAGTATTGGGGAGAGGTGATCAGACATGACATGGCGCGACTTAGGATTACTGAGGACATGGCCCTTGACAGAGAATTATGGAGGTCGAACATTAAGGTTGTAGGTTAGGGGAGAGTTGTGAATATTTCTACAGCACAATAGAGTGAGACTAGCCAGTTAGGAGTTAGACTAAGAATGTCATTGGTCGTCTATTGATGCAGGGCTTTACCTGCTAGTTTTACTATACCAGCCATCTATTTCGTATTTCGTATTCTGTATTTCATATCTCTTATATTGTTGTTATTTTATTATGCATTTTTATGGTA